CAATCCTTCCACAGTTCACCCTTTCTTTTGCTTCCCACTTTTCCTTGGAACCTCTAGCAAACATTAAGTAGCTTCCATGCTGTGGCTAAAACCACCTGGCATCCAAAGTGTTGTAGTTAATCTTTAAACAAGGTGGTATCAGCAGGGTCATGAGGGCTAGTTGAAGGAATAGATCATCTTCAAACTGTGACTTAAAATAGCCATGTCACACCTGAGCCTTCCAGTGATCACTCCCCTCCTCTCTTTCTCGGTGGACTTGAATTACCTGCCCTTCCATTGACCCACCCTGGTTCTCAGGTGACATTTCAAGAACCCTTGCCATTTGAGTCACCTGTTATTTTAGGACTGGGTTAGTCAAGAAGAGGAGGCAGATTCAGATGAGGGGCTATGAAATGGATTTTAGCATCTTTCTGTCTCCATTTTCAGTCTTTCTCAAGAACTCTTGGCATTCTTCCATTCCTATTTCTCCTAGGACCATATCTCTTAGGCAAGTAATAAAGATGCAGTACTAATATAGTGGTTAAGCCCATGGGCTCTGGGGCCAGACAAACTGTATTTATTTCCAGTAGCTTCCTGAAACTGTTCTTTTGAAGGTCACTGATTATCTTCTAATTGAAAAATCCAGTAAGTTTACTGTGAAACTTTTTTCTCTACTACTCTCTGTAGCTTATGTCACTGAGGACCATCTCTTCTTGCTTGATAATCTCTTCTGAATTGGCTTATGGCCACCATGTTATTTTGGCTTTTGACTGAGTCTTCTCAGTTCCTTTGTTAACCACTTCCACTCACGTTACTGCACTTAGGAATCCTCTCTTTTCTTTCTGAAAACTCTCTTGTGGAGGGCTGATGCAGTTTGATAGCATTGTCTATCACTTCCATGCTCAAACCTCCAAAGTTTATTAAATTTCCCTTCGGCTCAGATTCTCAACTCTCTTGCAAATAGGTATTTCCTTATGTATTTCCATCCATCACATTTAATTTGGCAAAATTTGACTTAAATTGCCATATTGTCCCTCCTGGAATCTACTTTAGTTCTCTCCCCACTTCTTCTCACTAGCCTGCCAGCCTTTAAACTGCAGAGACAGCTCTTGTGAGTATAATGAAGAAGAAGTCAGTGACTGAATTTTATCAACTTTCTTTAAAATTTTCTCTAACTAAAGTACCTCATCCCTCTGTGTTAGCTGTAGCCCTGACCCTTCTTCCTTTATCAATAGGTCATTAGCATAACACTCTGCCACTTTCTCTTAAGTCTCTCTGTTCTTCCATTTTTTTTCTCTTACAAGGATATTGCCAGCTCAAGAAACACTAGAGTAGTGCATTTTCCCTACAAGTCTAACACCCTTTCCTTGCTTCAATGCTTGCTGTAAGTTAACCCAACTCTACTAACTAGCAGCTTCCAGATATGAGTCCTCTGCTTTAATCAGCAACTCCTGAGCTTCTTCCAGGATCATGTCCACATGATCCTGCCTTGTTCAGCTGGTTCCCCTGCTTTAAAATGTTCTTCCCTTTACCCACCTAATTCCTAGCCACCCTTCAAGTCCAGGGCTCAACACTCCCATGAAACCCTGTAACTCTGGCAATTCAACACTTTCTCTCATTTCCACATCTGTAGCATTTCTGGCTCTTCCCCAGTGAAGCTCTAAATTAGGTATACTTCTTAGTATACTTCTCATTTTCCTCCAATGGGTTGTAACCTCCTTTAGGGCAATGAGTTAAGACAGTGGCAAAGCAGAACCATGGGCTCATGCTTGGGAAGCTACACTGGGACTTCAGAAGATTTCTTAGTTTTAAATCTGACAATAAACTTGTGCTATGGTTAACAAGTTTGATCATACAGTTAATTCATAAAAGTAAAAATGATTTATAATGATATACATACTTCCATGCACAATTATTAGCTTATGTTTTTTTTGTATGGTTAAAAGGACTTCAATTTGTCAGATGAGGAAACTGAAGTTTGGAGACTTCAGTAATAATTTTCTATAGTTTGCTTACAGACTCACAAGGCTGAAAAGGCAGAGCTCTTACTATACTACAAATTCATCTTCTTTTTTTTTCCAGGAAAATCTAACCTAACCAATGTGTAAGGCAAAGAATAAATGATGAATCTACCCCAATTATTTATTGTTGACTATAGCAATGCCTCCAGCAGTGTATTGTATCTTCTGTTTAGTCTCAGTGTTCCCTTCCCAGTGAGAAGGACCAGCATCCATTCAGTTTTGCAACTCAGAAACCAGGGAATCACCTTCAATGCTACCCTTACCCTCAACTTCCCATATTCATTTCATCATCAAATTGGTCTACTGTACTTGTCTCCCAGTCTCTTAAATTTCTCCACTTCTCTTCTTAGTCCAAACTACAAGCATTTCCACCTCTTTAGGAGCCTCCTTGCATCTATTCTTATCCCCTCCAATTTGTATTCCAGTTAGAATAAGTTTTTCTGAATTTGAATCTGATCATGGCTCCCTGTCCCTGAACACACCCATGGCCTTTTTGATGTTCCTATAATAAATCCTCAAATCCTTAATAAAACCTGCTCTTCATGGTCTGACATCATCTCACACCTTACTCTGCCTGCCCTACCATCGTCTGTCTAATCCACATGTACAGTATCTCAAACATCCTCACTTCCTCCTACGATAGGCCATTATTCTTGCCTGGAGCACTCTTACCCTTAATCTTTACCTAATTAGTTCCCATTCACCCTTTATATCCTATTTAAATTACCATTTTCCCAAGAAATTATTCCATGGCTTTGACCAAATGAAATTTCCTTATGACATCCAATATTATAGCATCACGTATCTGATCTCCATCATTGCATAGTTGGATTGTATATTTACTTCCGTGACTACGAGGGTATTTCTGGCTAATAACTCTCTCATTGACCTAAAAGGTCTTTGAGGCAGAGATACATCTCATTTGCACCAAGATCCAGTACATAATTAAGCAGTTCCAAAGTATTTGCTTTATGAGTGGATAATTTGCTTCATGAATGAATAATTGCTACTGATGATTAATGGCCATTTCAGTTTGATTGGTGAATGGTTTGATGCTAATTTGTGGACAATCAACTTTGGTTTACTTTCACTACCACTGTAGCAAAAATACTGGGATCCTAACCTATGGTCACATGGTAAGTGAGTGGAGAAAGCGGCAATGTCACATGGTCACAGTCATTCCCAACCATTATTTAGCACAGATTTTAAGTTGTCAACATCACATTTATTTATGTCAAAGAGCTACAAACTGAAATCCTCAATTCTGGCTGGTGGACCACATTAACATTTAACATTTGAACACATTTCCAGACCACAAGGCAGTCAGCTTAACCTAAAACAAGAACATGCCATATTTAACATGTAGGAATTAAGAGTTGACAGAGTATAGATATGTTAACTTATGTTTGAGGAAAGTGCTCTGAGGCTGGCATGTTGTTCTAATGATCTTTGGCATGTGGCAGAGCATGATAAGAAGGGGGTCCAGCCTGGGTTACAACCATGCATATTTCTTTCTGAATTACTCAAAGGGCTTTGTTATAAGACAGTGTCACCTTTAAGACCATTGTGCAACATGAGCCTTGAGGGTAATGCAGTAAACAAACTGTAAATTTTCAATACGGTAACAGAAGGTAAGAGGAGTAAATGAATGCTCATCAGACTTTTTTCAAATATCATTTGAAAGGGTCAAAATTCTTGTGGGTATGTGCAAGAGACAATTAAAAGATAGATTAAAAGATGAGAAATAATTACTTTTCTTGAGTAAAAGACTCCAGGGTATAATGACTAGCTGGAGTAAATCTTAGAATGTCGCTTATTTGCAAAATGCGGCCGAGTAGCTGGGTAATAATTCATAGAATTCATAAAGACTTAAAAGACTGCTGCCTTAATGGAGTTTTTTTTTCTATTTTACTTATTAAGATCGCCTTAATAATTCATGCATGGCAATACCTTTAACGAGCAACAAAATCTCACGTATCTCATTTAAACTTGGCAAGTGTGCTGACAGTTAATATAGCCTCTTGCCTCTGAGCCAGCAATTGTAAAGCAGCCCTGGGCTGTTAGTAACTGAAACCATCACATTTATGATAATCCCAAGAAAAGTTACGTCCAGATGAATGGTTGGATTTTATGGCCATTTGCTAAGAGATTTATTCATTCTTCATTTGTGGGGAGGTGACAGAACAATAATGGGACCAAACTATAACTCTTATTCCACATGCTGTGTTAGTTGCTTCTTTCTTAATGGCAGCAACTGATCACTATTTTCTTGGAGGGAACAGGAGTTTCTATCAAGATTTTTAAAGTTTTCCTATGATAAACACCTACTTTCGATGGTGAAAGAGTCATATTACACTATTCTACTAAGCAGTTAATCCTCTGCCTTACCCGAATAGCAGCATAAATGCACAGGTAATTTAGATTTGACTTCTTTACCAGCATTTACCAGGCAATTTTCTTAAGCCACGATCATTTCCCATAGACACAGTGAATGGAGCATTTACAACTGTCTTTCACAGAAGATAATGCTCTGGGTGATGATTCTCAAGATATTGTTCAAAATAAAATTCCCAAAGCAGAAGCTAATGTTAACACAAAATTATTTGCTACATCCATTCATATGATAATGCTCACTACATTATGTCAGTATAACTGGCAAGTAGGCTCAATTTAAATCTATTTTGTGTTCAACTGACCTATTTAAATTATTTGTTCTTGGCATCTCTAAATTTGGTGGAAAAAGTTGGTTAATGGAGCCAACATTTTCTTCTATAGGCCATTCTTTAAAAAATATTTTTAAAGTAAAGGCCTTGATTTTGGGAATATTCAGAATAATGTCACCACAAAAACAAGCTTCCCTTATTTTTATTAAGATTGCCTTAATAGTTCATATGTAGTAGTACCATGGACAGGTAACAAAACCTCATCTATCCCATTTAAACTTTCTGTGCTAAAATATGCCAATGGAAGGTGGGTCAGTTCATGCAGAAGCATCCCTACCTAGTGTAAGGCGGGAGAGGCAGAGTGATTCTGGTCCACTTGTTGAAAGTATCTGACACCAGGATCCGCTGCAGATGATAGCGATTGCATTCAACATTGGTAGGCAGACAGTCCCTCACCAGTGGGTGCCATGACAATCCAAGATCCACTGAGTACTCCAGTTCAATAGCTGCAACAGGAAACAGACCCAAGAACCATAGTCACTTATCACATTTCTATGTTTTACTTTCAATCAAATGTCAATTTGATTTTTTCCCTGTATTTGTATTTCTTACTCTAAAATGTTTCCCCATCTTTTGTACATTATTTATTATGTACATTATTTGTTATTTTTATATTTCTATATTGAAATACTTCTGCACATTATTTATAATTTTTAAATTTTTATATTGAAATACTTTTTAAGGAAATATGATCTAGTGAACAAAGTAAATTTTGCTGAGTCCTCCTTTATAATGAGAAACTTTCAGAGCAATTACAGCAAAATTATTGCTCATAGCTATACATGTTATATATTTATAATTTAATATCACACTAGTAACATAAATTATATGAATGCATTAAGTGCTATATAATTTATAACTGTAAATTAATGTATAATGTTCATTTAATTATTAACACACAGAGAATATATTAATTATATATTTTAATGATCAGTCTTTAAATAGTTAAAAAAACTGAGCAGGCTTCTCAAATTTTGACCTTCCTACAGGAATTCTGAATGTCAATTTTACTGGTGATTTAAAATCCACGACTATACAAGTACATATAAAAATCATATTGCTCACTTACTGGACTTTAACTTTTTGAGTCAGAATGTACCTATTGAAGACAAAATTCAATAATATTTCAGAAACTCACAATTCACCAAAGTATCACACATGGACTTATCAGAAGTTCTGAATGGTCCCAGAGCAGAGGCAGCCACAAATGTTTGGCCCTGTCTGGAGATGGATGACTTACCATAGCAAGAGTCTGTGACCGAGCAGGAGGCAGCAAAATCTATCTGTAGGAATGAATCCTCATTCACAGCAATGTCTGTGGTGACCACATAACGGGTGCTGGCCTTTTCAATGAAGACCAGGGCATCACCGGTAGAGCCACATACGGGCATCTTGGTGCCTCCTGGGTGGAGCAGCCATTTTCTACTATCCAGAGTTGTGAAATCATCCTCCAAGACTGTATTACCAGAAATATTTCCTCCAATAAGAATCTAAAATAGATTTTAAAAAAAAGCAACACCCTAAATTCTCAATTTGGCTTTAAGGTACGGAAAAGTTCAGTCTTTTTGTTTGTTTGTTTTAATCTGCCAGTCTGTTCAGAGCTGGCACTATACAGCTAGCATAATGTTAGGGGGCCTTTCAGAATGCTCTTGTTTATGTGGTCTGCTTGCCCATCTGGCAAGAAGCTAGAGAAAACAAATCAAAGGATTGACAAAACCATTCACAGCATTCACTGGCCAAACTGTGCCTTTGGAAACTATATGTACCCAAGCTGGGAAAGCAAACTTTGGCTTACGTGTGATTATTTTCTATGTAAAATTTCTATTTAAGTACACTTGTACCCTGAGGCATTTCAGTTCCAATTCATTCAATGGACTCTACTGTTTGTTAACAGGTACTTTTTCTCTTCTATTATGTATGAAGTTCCTTTAGGGTAGTCCATAAAGACGCTGAGCAGATTTATTCCTCTTTTTTTCTTAAAGGCCAGGAAAGAAGATTTGAAAATGGCTGACTTTCTGTGTGGCACCAATGCCAGTTTTGCACATTTTCCTTTCAGGGAATTATAACCTTGTATCAGGCTTGATAAAGTTGCTGGATCCATATGGCAGCATTCTTTGAGCAGGATCTAGGCCTTCTGTTGCATGGTTTATTTTCATGGGCTTACGCAATTGAGGGACCAGTGAATGAAAGGAAGCTAAAGCCCTTATGGAATCTAGCTGTGTGTCCTTAGGCAAGTCACTAAATTGGCCTGGACTTCCTATACTGAGTAAGGGGATTGGACTAAATGCTTTCTAAGGCCATGTTCAGCTCAAGTGACAAAAATTAAAATAGTTAATCCTGAAGGGACTGACCTGATCGATAACCCAGGGGCTGTAGAAGTGCCCATTTTCAGATGGCTGCCACCAGCGGAGGCGAGTAGAGCCAGAACGGGCTTTCAAAGGTATTTCCAGGGCAATGTACCTGCCCACGTTGCTGGAGTTGCTGAAAAGAAACTCTTGAAGGAGACTCCAGGTGAGGCCACCATTGAGAGAATACTGCAGAAGCACAGGCTGGCTCCTAGGGTCTGGAACACCTTTCCCACATCCCAGTCTCATGAAGAACTGCACAAATCTGACATTAGTAAACTTTACTGTAGACTTTTACTTCAATGAGAAATCCATATTATAACAGAATACAAGCATCAAGGATAATGTGGGGGGAATGAATGGCTTTAAGGAATGATGATTTAATGAATGTCCAAAGCAATCACTTCAAAGCCTGATTTTCCTTTTTAATGTGAAAGGGAGTTAATTAAATGTGAAGTGTGAAAAATGGCAATTCTGTGCCCATATTTGGATCTCAAATCTCTCCTCAGAGGAGAATCTGAGGGAAGTGAGCATTCTTTGCACCCTTTGGCTACTCCATAAGATGATGGGAGGGATCCAAAGGCTGTTCTAATTTGGGAGTATGTAGTTATCTACTTAAGATAAATTGGATTCTAGTCCTTAGTATTTGAAACTAGAAGAATGGAATTAATAGAGATTATGCCACGTTATCAGCAAAATCAATTCTCAGGTTTCACCAGTACTTTTACAGATCTCGTATGGCTGGTTTTGGGAGACACATTTAAATTCATCAATTGTAGCACCTCTTTGCAAAAGGCCAGGCAGGTTTTGGAAGAGGTGTGTCAAGCCTGGACCTCTTTTCTGTCTTTTGTGCCAGAGGCAGGGAAGCATGGGTGTGGGTGGTTGGTGGTAGTGGGCTGAGCCAGCCTCTGTCTGTTGCTGGGTCCGGGGATGGATGATGCTGGCCGCTGAGAACTGTGGCAGCCAGCCAGTGGCAGCTTTCCTAGCTGGCAGGGAGGTGGACAGAGCAGTAGCAAGCAGCTGGGGTGCCAGTGAAAACGAGCTCACATGTTATCTTTGGCAGACAAGCTGCTGGTGCCTGGTCTGGACACTACGATAGTTGGTAATGCAGAATAAATTTCATGTAGAACTCAACATACATACCTAATAATGTATGCATGCCAAACACAAGAAATGTAATGGGGCTCATAATAAATGTTATCAGTACCATATAAAAAAATTCATTCCTCATGATTTCCCCACCTTCCATTTATTTGTCTCATGACCCTGGAAAAATTGGGATCTTACATGAAGCATTGTCAGGTCAATATATGCAAATCCTACACAGCATGCTACTGAGATGAGCTATATTATGAAGCTTTTAACATTGGATTAAAGAAAACATACGTGGCTAGTGCCTAGTGATAGTTACACTCATAAAAACATTAATTATTTACAGAGAAAAATTTTCAGAATATTGTCTACTTATATTAGGAATATGTTTATATTAATTTAGTGATAAAATAACTACCAAGTTGTTGGTAGTTAAGAAAAAGCATATCAGAATTACTTACTTGAAAAACCTAGTAACTTCTAAATTAGAGAAATTAGCTTCTAGTGAAAAATCTGAAGTAAAATGTATCAAGTTAAACTATATATATTAAAATGGAATAAATATAGTAAAGTCTTATTTTCTATAACTGCAAAATTATTATATCACAGATAGAACTATATTTTCTATGAAGTGTGATAAAATGTATGATCAATAAAGATTTAGATGGAAGAGGCAATGAATATGTAAGACATATCTTAAGACACTTTGAAATATTTCGAAAACTAAAAACACGATTTCTTTGTTCACTTGCAAAAATAGGTCAGGGTTCCATTTTATACATGTTAAATTGTCTTTCTTAAGTTTTTGGCTCATCAAATGATCAAGGGATACACATCTTGACAGGACATAATCCTCTGAGCCAGTTTAAAATGTTTGTTTCTGAGTGACTGTGCTCAATTTAGAAAATGACTTCTTAGAATGTGTGAGTGAATCATTGGAAAGATGCTTATAGAGAATAAGGTCATGCCTCAAATGTTCTTAAATAAAATTGCTAGTGGAGATAAAATTAACCGTGAATAATTTAAGGATGTATTGCATTTCAACTAAGCTCTGTGCTACGTGTGTTATAATAAATGTATATAATTTCTGCATAGTCCAAGTACTAATGAAAAGTGTGTAGAATGTGGATAAAGAAGATGCAATATCATCTTCTTGAAGTTAAAGTAAATCAAACATTGTCATTTGCCAGTCTCAAACTTACAAAAGAATAGATATTAGCTTTTGTCTGTTTAGCTGTGCTTCATTTCTGATGTGGCTATTGAACTAATCTTTCAGTGTTGACTGGAAATGATATGAACTGTGTCTTAATGGAGGCTCCCACCAGGAAGAAGTCCAGCATCTCTAAGGGAAGGCCTTGTCCTTGAGATCTCTCTGCTTCTTTCTGTTTTGATTAGGTCCATTATCATACATTACAATGCAGTCTTCCAATGATTACCTAGCGTGAGATAAATCCAGGTCCCGAGTCATCAACATGCGCAAGCCATCCTCATTGAAGAAGAGGTTGTTTCCACTGGAAAGGATTCCACACTTCCGGGATGGCTTTCCACCACTCATTAATAAGAATCTATCAGATTCCAGTTGACCTGAAAAAAGTGGGAAATGTAGTTTACCCATGAACCCCAAGTATAATTATTCTATTTTAAAAGGAATATGGTAAATACATTTTGTACTTTTTGCTTTATTTTTTTCAGTGCTGGGGATTGAACCTAGGGCCTTGGGCTGGTAGGCAAGTGCTCTACCACTGAGCTACCCTGCCAGCACCACCATATAGTTTTTAAATATAAAGTCATAAATATTAAAGTGTATTTTGGGAGAAGGCTCCTTTTCAACGTATTAGTTTATTTGAATTGTTTAGCCTGGGCTAGTATAATCTAAGAGCCCACATGATAGAAGGAAACGTCTTTCCTTGAGGATTAATAGTCCAGCCAGATGGGTCCCTCTTTTTTATTATTCCACACTGAAAAAAAAAAGAGAGAGACAGAGAGTATGTGGGTCCAAAGTGAGGGAGGACATATAAGCTTTCCACCAGTCTTTCTACTGTGTCCTTTCTAATGTGAGGATAGTATTAGACAGGGATAACAAAATATTTTATTTATTTATTTATTTATTTATGTTTAATTTTTAGTTGTAGTTGGACACAATACCTTTTATTTTATTTATTTATTTTCATGTGAGATAGGGTCTCACTAAGTTGCCCACGCTGGCCTTGAACCTGCAATCTTCCTGCCTAATGCTCACAAGTTGCTGAGATCACAGCATGCGTGTATCACTGTGCCTGGCTTAAATAATGCTTTAAAAGTCAGCTTTCAACTCTATTCAGATATTCATCTTAGATTTTATATATTTTTGTTGTAAAATATGCAAAGCATTAAGTTTACCATTTTAACCATTTTACAGTGAAAAATTCAGTGACATTGAGTATGTTATTTGTGTTGTGCAATCATCACTGCTAATAGTTCAAGTTTCTCATAGCCCCAAAAGGAAATCTGTACACATTAAGCAGTCACTCCCCATTTTCCCACCTCTACCCACTGGAAACCACTAATTTTTCTCTGTTTCTATGGATTTACATATTTTGGATATTTTATATATATGAAATATATACCGTGTGGCCTTTTGTGCTGGCTTCTATCACTTAGCATGTTTTCAAAGTTCATTCATTCATGATTTAAAATGTATTCATATTTCATTCCTTTTTATGGCAGTATAATGTTCTATTGTTTATATCTAAATCTAGTTTTAATATGTACTGTAAAACCATAAATATATATTTTAAAGAAAATTTGGGAAAAACAAAGAAAATTTTTTAATCTCATTTTCTTAACAGAGATAGCCATGACATAAGACTTTCTCTTAGAAAATGTTTATCCATAGCTTGGCCATAGTGCATCTACAATCTAAATGCTTTTCTATAATCATTACATCATGTACATTTTTTCTACGTTGTGACATTATCTTCATATATAATGATGCTGAGGTGTAAAAGCAAGTTCCAAAAAGCAATGAGAGGTTCTTTAGTGAGTTATTGGAAAAGCAATGAAAGGAAGTTAGATTTATGATAAATCATTTCTTCCATCCAAGAAGACTAACTTTCTGGAGATATTTTCTAAAATTTTCATTAATCAGAAGTTACATGTGACATAAAGAGTGGGTAAAAATAGCCTTAGTTTTTTCTCTATAAAGTTCCTGTTCTCTCTTGTTGACGATTATTTCAAAAGTGAAACCCTAAAAAAATTCAGAACTAAATGAATTCTTCAGTGTTTACAATTATTTTGATAAAATTGATACTTGAGAGAACTTAATACTTAATTTTGTATCACAAATTGTGTTCAATTTATAAGTTCTTTCATAAAGTTACACAGAATTTATGAAAAGACTACCTTCAAAATCATCCTTAAGAAAATCAGGATTTTTGGTGCTTATTTTGCAGGTTGGACCTGAGTAGCCAGGATCACATATACACTTGGTTCCATTGACACAGCTCCCGTGTCCATTACACATCTCTTCACATTGGGGACCAATGTAGACATTATCAATGGCCCATGTCACTGGCTGAGAGCCTGCAGGGTAAAATCCCTGATACCATCTGAAGCGTACAGATCTGGAAAAGAGGTACACGTCTTTAAAAAATGAATCAACAGAACAATACACCTTTAGAGTAAGCACGTCTGATCAATAAGCAATGGGAAGTTACTACCTGTGTACCACAATCAAAAAGCAGAAAACATAATCTGCCATTTCAGGAACAAAACTACATTCTCCAATCTCCAGAATTTTGTCAATAAGTTTCTTGCTTCCGCAAGCCCCTTGCAATTCTATCAATATGTAAAAATTCCACCACCTGACCTGCCCATCTTTTTCAATATTTCATACCTAAATGAAGGTTCTATCTCTATTATATATACCCTGCATAACAAACCTTTTAATTTTTCAAATTGAGGTAAACTTCATATAGCATAAAATTAACCACTAACCATTTAAAGTATACAGTTCTGCGGCATTTACACATTCACTGTATTGTCTCTCTCTATCTAGTTATGAGATATTTTCATCACCTCTAAAAGAAACCCCCTTTCCCCACTCAGCCCCTGACAGACCACTAATCTGCTTTCTGTTTCTGGGGGTTTCCTGTTTTGGACATTTCATAGAAATGGAATATATGTGACTTTTGTGTCCAGTTTCATTCATTTAACATCATGATTTTAAGGTTCATCCACATTAGAAAAAATCAAAATTTCATTTCTTTTTATGAATGAATAATATTCCACTATATCAATATACCATTTTTTTTTCATTCATCAATTGATGAACACTTGGTTGTTTCCATCTTTTGGCTACCGTAAATAGTGATGGTATGAACATTTGTATGTAGTACAATATTTGCTTAAATTAGTGTTTTGAATTCTTTTGGGTAGAATGGTAGTGTAATTGTTGGGTCTTATGATCTATGACTAAACTTTTTATTTCTCATGATCCCTTCCATAGTTTTGATGGAATTTCCATTATTATAGTTATCATAGCTGGAGTTATTTAAAAGTGTGCTAATTTCCTCACTTGTAGAAACTTGTAGAAGTCAATGTCCATGTTTCCCTTTTCATATTTTTCCATGGTGCCCATTTCTATTTTTCATATCCAGTAGATACTCAGTAAATTTTTTTAAAATTTTTTTTATTGGTTGTTCACAATATTCCAAAGCTCTTGACATATCATATTTCATACATTAGATTGAAGTGGGTTAGATACTCAGTAAATTTTTAAGAGAAAAAGCAAGAAATCACCTATATTTTTAGTTTGCAATTTATTAATTTTTAAAAAACTCAAAGATAAATAAATGTACTGTCTTATGTTAATGATGATAAATTAGCTCCTTGGAAATAATCTACATATTTAGATAGCCGTCTAGAAATAGTTTAGTATATTTTATCATATATAAAACTCAGTTCAAAGAAGATGGATTTATTTTAGAGAGGGCAGGATATAGAGATGGCATGTACACATACTTTTGTGCATTTAGAATCTGCCCAATTTCCTGTTATTATAAAAACTGAATTCTTAATAATTTTTTATTATTTGAGAAACAGAACTCAGAAGTCAAATACTAGAGTTGGGGATGGATGGTTGAGAGGGAAATGTATTTGTTAAGCTTCTAAAATTTAGAAAATAGCAAAGGAGGTGGAGTCAAGTTCTTACACATAAATTTAACTCTCATTCCTTGTTTATATCAAGACTTCAACTATACTAAGCTGCCCCCAAAATGCCAGTTCATAATTAAACTTATTTTCAAATACTTGCCAGAGTTTAGTCTTGGCAAGAAGCACTTCTTACCTTTTGAACTTCCAGACTGCTGAGCTGAGGGAAATGGCTGGAGTTTTCCTTTGAACAAAAGCCTACATGGATTTTTTTGAACTTCTTATTTATTCAAATGTTCTGAATACAAATGAACCACCTTGGTTGGATATTTATTATTGTTCACCTGCCTTGACAGAAACTGCAGGCGTTATGATAAATGGTATGAAGGGTATGGTTTCGCTGTGGTTCCCTTCTGCCAAAATCTTATTTTGAAAATCCCTCATTCTCCTTGGTGAATGTCAGCACCTGTCCTCCTAAACCAGTGTTACTGAAAGGATCTGTTTTCTAAACATAAACTTAACATTTCAAGCACACAGCGCTGCCTCCATTAAATAGGGTTTTTGGTGGACTCATTATGAAACTGCATAAAGCAAAAACAATTAGGAAGTTTAAAGACAAAAGATTCTAGACTAAAAGGACACAAAGGTGATGTGAATAAAATCAGATGGAAACTCAATACTTGGCTTTTGAATATAAATGGGCAATATGCAGAGGCAAAATATGAAACATTTGCCACCTGAAAATATTTGATATATTTGTGTGTGCGTGTGTGTGTGTGTGTGTGTGTGTGTGTCTTTCTCTAGTGTCCAAAAAGTCACAGGGATAATTTCAATGTAGATTTTATATATTTTTAGCAGCTAGCACTTGAGCCATTACTATGTGCCTTGTTGAATACAAACCAAGAAATGGTTCACTGAGTTGGAGAAAATTTAACTTTTGCCTTCCAGCAATTCATGCCTGTGTGCATTTTAAAAACTGTGCTAATTCCTTCCCTGAAACAAGGACTAGACAACAAATTTTTCCCCTCACAGAAATGGCTGTAGGCAGTTTGAAAGGTAGGTTTATACGAGAGTGGGCATGCCTCCTTAACCCATTTAATTTCTTCTCATAGAAATAAAACAACACAGACTACAAAGGACATGACAGTGTAAATTCTGTACACAATAACATAGAATTGTAAGTGGATTTTTATCAGTGGGTGAAACTTAGATGTCTGCATTTCTCTTGTTCAAATTTCCAAAATTATGTTGCCATTGTTTACAAGTCAGCAAAGCAAAGCAGCATCACCAGCTGCCAAGGGTGGTGGTCTCCGAGACATGCACATTGTCCTGGTGTGTGGGCGTCTTTACTCAGGGGCTCTCACTGGCAGATCTTTTTGACCATATTTCAAAACCTTCAGACGGCATTGCCATTAATTCCATATTGGGAACTTGCTGAAGCAAGTCTCAGTTAAACAATCTAAAATCATGGCCTACCACCTATCTTGAAGGGTTTTTTCTACCTAATAATTCTTAGCTGGGCAATTGGAGAAAACCAAGGTCCACGAAAGGGAAAACTTGGCACTTCTATCAATATAGTGATGGAGTTTGATGGGATGTTCTAGTCGTAGGTGCGTGTCTGTGTGTGTCTGTTTAAGAGACAAAAGAACATAAACTGGACGACTGACAAACAACAGAACTTATTTCTTACAGTTCTGGTGGTTGGAAGTTCAAGAACATTGTGTCTGGTAAGGGCTTGCTCTGGGGTTCACAGATAAGGTAAGGTAACTGTCTGGAACTTCTTTTACAGGACAGTAATCCCACTCATGAAAGCTCTTACCCTCATGACCTAATCACCTCCCCAAAGACCCCACTTTCTAATACCATTACTTTAGGGGTCCAGATTTCAACGGATGAATTCTGGGGTGGGGTAGAACATGAAGGATCATACCTCATTACTGACTGCCTATGTGACTGGATAGCCAGGCTTTTCCCCCTGACTACCCTGCCTACAGGCATGGTCTTTTGGAAGTTTTGCTTCTGCTTCAACACTTGGATTTCTGGCCAAAGATTGGTTCAGATTTTTAGGAAACCTGCAATTGAGAACCCTGGAAAATGAGAGTTGTGGTTCGCTGAGTGATGCTAATATTAGCATGTTAAAAAATGAGGATCACATTTTGTTGCTGAAGTCCTCACACTTGCTGAATGGAGTCTGTGTAATTCCTTAATATCTTTCCAATAAATTCTTCAACAACTTTAGAATAATTTTTATATTTCTTGAAATAAACTATCTTTAATACAACTGGTTTTGGATAAAAAGTTTTTCCAGAGTTATTTTCCCCTTCCTACTTCTTCTGTAGACAAGCTGTAAGAATCAAGAGGAGCTTTCGGTTGCACAGACTGAATTATCAGCTCTACTCAGAAATTCTCTCCAGAGACTCTACTTGCCTCATCTGGATATCATTTCCAAGGAACTAGGGGACATTTTGGTTAGTAGTATTTATCTTTTTAAAAATAGCTGGATTTTATATTAAAATAATGTCTCATGTAACATCAAGGATTAGTAAGTGGGGCTGGGGATGTGGCTCAAGCGGTAACGCGCTCGCCTGGCGTGCGTGCGGCCCGGGTTCGATCCTCAGCACCACATACCAACAAAGATGTTGTGTCCGCCGAGAACTAAACAATAAATGTTAAAAATTCTCTCTCTCTCT